ACAAAAAGTAAGGTATGATAAATCAGCACATTTGCTTGAATTGATAAGTAGTCTTAGATACGCCCATCGCAGCACAATAAAAGAAGTGCATAGAACTATTTAGAAAGGGCCCTTATTTAACAAGGGCTTAATAGTTACCAGCCTTAATTACAACCTGGAGGATGTAACAACAAGATCTCATTAACAGATGTCAATAACGATGTCGAGGGTTGTCAGAGATGATATTGAGCGCTGTCCAGGATGACGTTGTGGTATGCTAAAGAATATTCAATTTTTGTTTTAATTAAAAGAACAACATTAATTAAATTTTTCATAAACATCAAAAAGAATAAGATTTTCGTAAAGATCAGAAAATTTTAACCTAATTTGATATATCACACCCTATATCTATCATAAAATTCACTCTTAAAAGCATAGATGACACAATTTTTTAGTGTTTTGTTTTCGGCCATCTTGTTTTTATAAAAATCTAGATATCTGCGGTATTATTACGCCTAGATATGTCGAGTTTGGACTCATTTCACATAATTTTTAATTATCTACAGTAATATTTACGTATTATTAATTTTCGACCATCTTGGATTTTACCAAAACTGTCAAAAATCAAAATACCTCGAACAGTTTTATAGCAAAATACGTCGTGTTTAGATCCACTTCAAAGGATTGTTCATGAACATAAAAAATATTCAATTTTAGTTTTAATTAAAAGAACAACATTTCTTAAATTTTTCATAAACATTAAAAAGAATAAGATTTTCATAAAGATCAGAAAATTTTAACCTAATTTGATATATCACACCCTATATCTATCATAAAATTCACTCTTTAAAGCATAAATGACACGATTTCTTAGTGTTTTGTTTTCGGCCATCTTGTTTTTATAAAAATCTAGATATCTGCGGTACTATTACACCTAGATATGTCGAGTTTGGACTCATTTTACATCACTTTTAATTATCTACAGTAATATTTACGAATCATTAATTTTCAGCCATCTTGGATTTTACCAAAACTGTCAAAAATCAAAATACCTCGAACAGTTTTATAGCAAAATACGTCGTGTTTAGATCCACTTCAAAGGAGTGTTCATGAACATAAAGAATATTCAATTTTTGTTTTAATTAAAAGAGCAACATTTTTTAAATATTTCATAAACATCAAAAAGAATAGGATTTTCATAAAGATCACAAAAATTTAATCTAATTTGATATATCACACCCCTATATCTTTCACAAAATTTACTCTTAAAAGCATAGATGACACAATTTCTTAGTGTTTTGTTTTCGGCCATCTTGTTTTTATAAAAATCTAGATATCTGCGGTACTATTACACCTAGATATGTCGAGTTTGGACTCATTTTACATAATTTTTAATTATCTACAGTAATATTTACGTATTATTAATTTTCGACCATCTTGGATTTTACCAAAACTGTCAAAATTAAAATACCTCGGACAGTTTTATAGCAAAATACGTCGTGTTTAGATCCACTCGTCAAAGGCTTGTTCATGAACATAAAAATATTCAATTTTTGTTTTAATTAAAAGAAAAACATTCATTAAATTTTTCATAAACATCAAAAAGAATAAGATTTTCATATAGATCAGAAAAATTTAACCTAATTTGATGTATCACACACTATATCTATCATAAAATTCACTCTTAAAAGCATAGATGACACAATTTCTTAGTGTTTTGTTTTCGGCCATCTTGTTTTTATAAAAATCTAAATATCTCCGGTATTATTACACCTAGATATGTCGAGTTTGGACTCATTTTACATCATTTTTAATTATCTACAGTAATATTTACGAATCATTAATTTTCGGCCATCTTGGATTTTACCAAAACTGTCAAAAGTCAAAATACCTCAGACAGTTTTATAGCAAAATACGTCGTGTTTAGATCCACTTCAAAGGATTATTCATAAACATAAAAAATATTCAATTTTTGTTTTAATTAAAAGAGCAACATTTCTTAAATTTTTCATAAACATCAAAAAGAATAAGATTTTCATAAAAATCAGAAAATTTTAACCTAATTTGATATATCACACCCTATATCTATCATAAAATTCACTCTTTAAAGCATAAATGACACGATTTCTTAGTGTTTTGTTTTCGGCCATCTTGTTTTTATAAAAATCTAGATATCTGCGGTACTATTACACCTAGATATGTCGAGTTTGGACTCATTTTACATCATTTTTAATTATCTACAGTAATATTTACGTATTATTAATTTTCGACCATCTTGGATTTTACCAAAACTGTCAAAAATCAAAATACCTCGAACAGTTTTATAGCAAAATACGTCGTGTTTAGATCCACTTCAAAGGAGTGTTCATGAACATAAAGAATATTCAATTTTTGTTTTAATTAAAAGAGCAACATTTTTTAAATATTTCATAAACATCAAAAAGAATAGGATTTTCATAAAGATCACAAAAATTTAATCTAATTTGATATATCACACCCCTATATCTTTCACAAAATTTACTCTTAAAAGCATAGATGACACAATTTCTTAGTGTTTTGTTTTCGGCCATCTTGTTTTTATAAAAATCTAGATATCTGCGGTATTATTACACCTAGATATGTCGAGTTTGGACTCATTTTACATAATTTTTAATTATCTACAGTAATATTTACGAATCATTAATTTTCGGCCATCTTGGATGTTATCAAAACTGTCAAAAATCAAAATACCTCGGATAGTTTTATAGCTAAATACATCGTGTTTAGATCCACTTCAAAGGATTGTTCGTGAACATAAAAAATATTCAATTTTAGTTTTAATTAAAGGAACAACATTTCATAAATTTTTCATAAACATCAAAAAGAATAAGATTTTCATAAAGATCAGAAAATTTTAACCTAATTTGATATATCACACCTTATATTTCTCACAAAATTTACTCTTTAAATCATAAATGACACGATTTCTTAGTGTTTTGTTTTCGGCCATTTTGTTTTTATAAAAATCTAGATATTTTCGGTATTATTACACCTAGATATGTCGAGTTTGGGCTCATTTTACATAATTTTTAATTGTCTACAGTAATATTTACGAATCATTAATTTTCCGCCATCTTGGATTTTACCAAAACTGTCAAAAATCAAAATTCCTCAAAGAGTTTTATAGCAAAATACGTCGTGTTTAGGTCCACTTCAAAGGATTGTTCATGAACATAAAAATATTCAATTTTTGTTTTAATTAACAGCTCAATATTTATTAAATTTTTCATAAACATCAAAAAGAATAAGATTTTCGTAAAGATCAGAAAAATTTAACCTAATTTGATATATCACACCCTATATCTATCATAAAATTCACTCTTAAAAGCATAGATGACACAATTTTTTAGTGTTTTGTTTTCGGCCATCTTGTTTTTATAAAAATCTAGATATCTGCGGTACTATTACACCTAGATATGTCGAGTTTGGACTCATTTTACATAATTTTTAATTATCTACAGTAATATTTACGTATTATTAATTTTCGACCATCTTGGATTTTACCAAAACTGTCAAAATTAAAATACCTCGGACAGTTTTATAGCAAAATACGTCGTGTTTAGATCCACTCGTCAAAGGCTTGTTCATGAACATAAAAATATTCAATTTTTGTTTTAATTAAAAGAAAAACATTCATTAAATTTTTCATAAACATCAAAAAGAATAAGATTTTCATATAGATCAGAAAAATTTAACCTAATTTGATGTATCACACACTATATCTATCATAAAATTCACTCTTAAAAGCATAGATGACACAATTTCTTAGTGTTTTGTTTTCGGCCATCTTGTTTTTATAAAAATCTAAATATCTCCGGTATTATTACACCTAGATATGTCGAGTTTGGACTCATTTTACATCATTTTTAATTATCTACAGTAATATTTACGAATCATTAATTTTCGGCCATCTTGGATTTTACCAAAACTGTCAAAAGTCAAAATACCTCAGACAGTTTTATAGCAAAATACGTCGTGTTTAGATCCACTTCAAAGGATTATTCATAAACATAAAAAATATTCAATTTTTGTTTTAATTAAAAGAGCAACATTTCTTAAATTTTTCATAAACATCAAAAAGAATAAGATTTTCATAAAAATCAGAAAATTTTAACCTAATTTGATATATAACACCCAAAATCTTTCACAAAATTTACTCTTAAAAGCATAGATGACACAATTTTTTAGTGTTTTGTTTTCGGCCATCTTGTTTTTATAAAAATCTAGATATCTCCGGTATTATTACACCTAGATATGTCGAGTTTGGACTCATTTTACATCATTTTTAATTATCTACAGTAATATTTACGAATCATTAATTTTCCGCCATCTTGGATTTTACCAAAACTGTCAAAATCAAAACACCTCTGACAGTTTTATAGCAAAATACGTCGTGTTTAGGTCCATTTCAAAAGATTGTTCATGAACATAAAAAATTTTCAAGAATATTTTCTTACCTATTCAAACTTGTATACACATTTAATTCAATTCATAAGATCTCATCACATTATTATTAACTACTTTAACAAGAAATGATATAAATGTAAGAATTTTATATTAATTCAGCCCCCCAAAGTGGTAATAATAGATAACTCAAACTAAAATAGCCGTTTAAAACCAAACAAAAAAAAATCTAAACCTTCAGATATCCCACTGAGATTCCAGAAGGAAGAGGAGGAAACTTTTCATACCTGGCCAACAGCACACACTGTTGCTGACCTGCTGTCAGCGTTCGAAACCTGTCTTCGGTTTGAAATTTATGGCAGCCGGCTCGTTATCCGAAAGGAAATATTAATAACACACTCAATCTCGAAGTTTGTTTACACAACCAGCGATAATCGCCCTCGTTTTCCAATTTTAATTAGACCCAACCCACATTTTTCTATTACAACAGCATACAATTCTACATAAATAATCATTTTAGCAACTTTCAAATCTATAATTCGAATTTCTAAAAGGAAAAAATGCGTTATGGAACTTACCAAGCATTGGCAGCCATCCCAAAGTAATAAATCATCAGGAAAACGATCGCGCAGTTCGCGTTTGTGAGTCCGTCGTCTTCGTGGAAGTCTTGGGCGTTCTCGTTTGGCAGACAGGAACCGGCTTTTCTTCCGGTAATAACTCGAGTGATCCAACCGACGCTTACCAGGCAATAACACAAAGCCAAACTAACCAGGGGTCTTGCTTTGACCCGCCCGCCGCCGATTGATAATGTTAATGCGGCGAATAAACTCGAAATAAATGATATCGTTGCCCAAACTGTTATCCAAACCTATAACAAAAAAGAAAAAAATAAATAAATGCATAAATTACGATTTTGAAAAATTTAATAATTAAAAGAAAATAAGGTTCTCATCTTAATCTTATTCAAACAAAAAGTGAGTAGATTTAAAATAAGCACTTAAAAAGCACTTAACTGTATATTTACGAATATATCGTCAATTACTTAGAAAAGTAAATAGATTAAATGTTGTAATGTAACACAGATATTTTAAATTCCAATCGTTTAAAATGTTTCAAGTAGATTTATAAACAAGTTGTTTTATAGATATATTTGCGCGAAACAATAATAAAATTTTCAACGAAAGTATGACTCATACTCATTGAAATTCTTCGGCCTAAATATGTAACTTTTAAAATTAGAGAGAATAAAAAGTTAATCGTTATATCAACATATTTTTTTTGCAAAAGTTAGATGTGATCAACCGTTTTGAAACCCGATAAAGCGATTAATTTGAAAACTGTCAGAAGCAGGATTCATTATACCCTCCTCATTCATCCCAAATTTATTAAAGCTTTCATCGTGTATGATATATACAATGTAATATAAAGAGTACTCAATTTTTGTGTGTTATATATTGGCGACATCTGTTGAAATGTATTATCACTAAAGAATATTTTAGTTTTTTCAAAGAAAATAATGTTGTTCTGCTATTAAGCTGGGTCCACATCAATAAAAATTTGCGTGTGTGTTAAATTTACTGTGCGGCGAAAATTTTTACCGACGTAAAAGTACCACACACAGCCAATAAATATTTGTGCTGTGCGTGTTGTATGCCCTGCTCCGTCTGTGTGTGCAGTATGATTTTGTTAGGTTATGTTTTAGTAAGTTATTCCAACAAATGGCAAATATAAATTTGTTTATATTTATCGGCGAACCTAGAAGTACCTTGAGTTCAGAAGAAAAGTTGGTAAGTAAACAATTTCAAATCTTTAATTTTTTGTTTAAATTATGTTTATAATAATTGAATTACAAATGAATTAATACTCCAAATATAGAAAATGGAGTTCAGAATACCATAGATAGATATTAATAATCCAGTTGCCATTCAACCACCCCTTCGGTAGTGAAATAAGTACAAAATCCTTCACGGACTTCATTTGCTTGAAATGTTGACCTTCGTGGAATATTTCGTAGATTCCTAAGGTTGTCAATGGTTTCTGAAGATCTCCAAGTTCCTTCAACTAAACGCCCTTCCACTTCTGTATCAAAAGTTCCAGGAGGAGTGTATATCTTCTTTGAACTCTTGCTCCTCATTAAATAATTATGAAGATACACAATGGTCATTACTATTAAATCACATTTTTTGGGTTCTAGCAAAATTGGCTTTCTCAAAACTCGAAACACAGCTGAAATTATGCCAAATACATTTTCCACAACTCTTCTAGCTCTGCTCAACCTATAATTAAAAATTCGTTCTTTTGATGTCTCCAGCAAATGGTTTCATTACGTTCTTTGTCAAAGTAAATGCTTCATCACCTACAATAACATAGGGAATATCCTTGTCTCCTCCAGGGAGTGGTTTTGCAGATGGTAATCCTAACGTATTACTCTCAAGTTTTTTATAAAGTTCTGTGTTTCTGAATACTCCCCCGTCAGAAATTCTACCTTGACATCCAATATTAACATAAAGAAAGTTATAATTCGCATCGACCAGAGCAAAAAGTACTATGCTAAAGAAGCCTTTGTAATTATAGTATTCACTTTTTTATTTCACTCCATATTTGCTCATAATCTCGAGCCACTTCCTGCCATTCTTCTGGGGTTGAAGGCATCTAAAAAAAATCAATCTGCAGTGATAGAATCGTACTTAAAATATAATATACATTTTTAAAATCTTTTTTACAGTATTGTTATTGCGCGACCAGTTGGATTTGGCCGGCGGAAAATATGCGAACTATTATCGGAAACGTCTTACCCCTCACCTCCTTGACCTATATATTTGGCTGTCGTACAGTCAAATTACCAAATAAAACAATATGTATTTGATATATTTCTGACATTTCATTTCTTTGACAGCGTTGCTTGAGTTAGATTACGGTTTTGTGAGTTTATCGAGTTTATTTTCTATTATCGTTCTATTTCGTTTATCTATTAACTGTTCTTTTCAGAGCAAAAGCCCTTCTCATCTGATTTTCAGGTCAGTAATGTTAATTTTAATAGGTGTCAGATATGTATGTATATAATTTATTTTCACAATTAGATACGTATATTACAAACATGTCCAAGAGAAAATCCGAGCAGAGCGAAGCGCTCACAATACTGCAGAATATTATCACATTTTGCGAGAATGAAAAGGCGGCAGGAAGATATACATTTTGTGTTGACCAGGTTATAAGTCGTGTGGCAGCAATGACAGGGAAATCCGAGAGAACAATTTGAAATACCACAAATATATTTTATGTTATAATGTAATCAATAAATATGTATGTAGAGTATAATATTGTTTTGTATATGTCGACATAAAATCAAATATTAATAACTAAACAAAAAGCCTTTATTTTATAATCTAAAATGCAACACTCATAACCTCGCATTCACAATTGTCCACATTATAAATATAAATGTCAAACTTTTCAATTAAGCGTCACAACATTTTTGTTCTGAGTGTACCTTTCAAAACGATCGCGATGCTTGACCATCCATATTGGGTTGGTCGTACTATAGATAATGTACATATATATTTTTTATAGAAAAATGTAAACGCCGAAGCTCAACCTTGTTCTACTTTAAATATAAACGCTAATGCCCAGCCTAATCCCAGTTTAAATGTAAACGCTGATGTTCAACCTGACAATAATTTAAATGGTTCTGGCACCAACAATGATACTGATACAAGCTTCGCTATACCACAAGCACCTATATCAGCACAACCAGCAAGTAAAATAAGAAAGCGAGCAAAGAAAAATGACGAGGATCCGCGTATAGAAATGGCTTATAAGTTTTTACAAGCACCGATGGAAAAAGAAGATTGCACACAACTATTTGCTAAATATGTCGCGGAAAAATTGAATCAGTTCGATCCATACACAAAGTCAGTCTTGACTCATAAAATTAATACTTTAATTTTTGATGCAGAATTGTCAAGACTTGGTGCGGCACCAAATGGTTCCCAATGTTTCATGTCCCCTTCCCAACATTCAGTTTCACCATTACATTCTGTTCGTGATATTTCATTACAAAGTAGCTCACCACCTTTATCAGTATCACCATCTCCCCAACCCCAATACCTGGTTGTTACCAGCAAACTTCCCACATCCTCAGAACAAACAGTCATTACAAAAGATACAGTCACTACAGAAAATCCAGTGACTGTGGAAAATACAGTGGCTACAGAAAATGCGGTAACATTTGAATTATCTCAATTTTTAAATCTTTAATAATAATTTTTCTAATTGAAAATAAAAATATGTTTAAATAAAAGTTCTTTTTGATGGTATGTGTTTGTTTCATTTACTTACCTTTATGCAATCTTGTAGAACATCAAGTAAAGCTTTACATACTTGCGGAACTATAATGGATATAGCTTGCTTAGATACTTTGAATAGGTACTGAAGAAACGAAGTGTCAAAGCTAGTCTGTCCTTCACACTTATACTTTCTCTGAAGTTAGTATCCTGCTTCTGGATTTTTGGTCCAATCAAATTTATAAATAATTCGAAGTCTTGTACAGACATTCTTAAAAAGTTCTTAAAATGTCCAGTGCTTTCATCTAACGATAATATGTTCAATAAATGTACGCCTTCACCTTCATTATTTCTGCTTTGGTACAAATGTTTCATCCAATACAGCCTTTTCTTGCGACTTTCTTCCTTTTTTTTAATTAAATTGTGCATTATTATGAATGCAGCGGACTTTTTCTTGAACATATTGCTATGCTGAGACATACTCTTACTAGACAACTACGCCAGGTAGGTACCTCTTTGAAACTAAGATTATTTCACTTCAACAACACGTCCACATACAAATCCTGTGCGCCGCAAATTCCTTTGATGTTCGGGAGATAACCGACTTTCGATGGTTCGTATGCGGCGAAAATTTTTGTGTACCACTTTGTGCGTCAAACCGTCCACATTGCCACGCACACACACCACATACAACGTAAATTTTTATTAATGTGGACCCAGCTTTAGAATATCATAAAAAAGATGGTGTGATTTTAAAATTTGTTTTAAAGATATCAGAGCTAACCTCAAGCATAATCAGAAATTATTTAAAAATATTGCTCCAATCTAAATCTTCCACACTCACATTACTCATCAAAGAGGTTGATAAAATAATACTTTAGGAGTGACAACTAATTGTCAATATTGTTTCCTGAAAACTATTTTATAAGAGAAAGCATTCTTTTGCTACGATTTGACCCTATACAGAGTGTTTGATTTTAATTGTTCTCAACAGATATCTCAACTACTGTTGGAGATGTTACAAAATGTTATAGAAGGAAAGTTGCTCCACATTTATTTTTTAAAAGGTTTTAGTGGTATCACTACCATGAACAATACTTGAATGATGTTAACCGCTACTGTAGACCAAGATAACATGAAGAAAAAAAAACATCCCAGACCAATTCACGCAAACATATAACAACATAAATATATCTCCGTGAACGCAATACAGGAAAACTCCAAAGGGAATATACAGAGTGTCTTAAATATTCTGATCGCTTTAACTCTGACAGATAAATGACAAACGGTAAGAGATACTTGCTATAGATGCTTTATAAAGAAATAAATTAAATATATTGCACAGTCGACAATTTATAATCGTTAAACTTTCACTGGGAAAAGCAGCTGCTACTTATTCTGTCCCAAAAAGTGCTACACATGACCATCTCAAGAAACAAATTGTAAAGCAAGAAAGTCTATATTTTTAGAAGATTAAGAAAAAGAAGTAGAAGAACATATCATAAAATGTTAGAAGTACAATTTTAACAAAACATCTCCATCAAATGGCAGGAAAAGATTGACAGAAAAAAATTACAGAAAGAAAAATAAGGAGTGAAAAAATTGTAAGTTCCACTAAAGGTAAGAACGATGATAAGATTAAAACAAAGGTTCAAGGGAAGGACAAACCACGCAAGAAAAAAAAAATCCAATGAAGGAGATGCGAAGGGGCAAGAGTATTCCTTAATTTGTGATGAAAATTATGAGGATCCTCCAACTGAAGACTGGATAAAATGCTGCAAATATAATTTATGGACCCACAAAAACTGCACGTAATGTGGGGTAACTACGGATATGAATATTTAGTTATGTAGTAATATTTAGTAATATTCGTAGCTTTATCAGGTTTTGTTTTATTTCAATTTTCCTTGAAATGTTCGCAATTACCCCACTCTCCCTTATTGTCCATTACAGTTTCCATGATTATGACGAAACTTTTGTTTTAAAAATAAACTGCAATACAATCAAATTCGAAAATCTGCAAGTTAAGTGACTAAAATATGTAATTTATGAAAATTGGCCAAAAGTATTGAAACGTAAGACAATTAGAAACACTCTAAAAAAACACCTCCATTCAACCTGAAAGTGACAACCAGCTTCAAGTCGATACGATATTAATCAGTGAGTCTCGGCCGCAAGCAACCTCGGCTGTATCAGATTAACAATATGATGACCAGCTTCAGTTGCGCATTTGGTTGCTGAAATGGTTCTAAAATACCAATATCCTTGGTATTTCTCCCTTCGATCTTCTTAATGTCATGCAGCCATATCTTCCCAGACAGCAACGGAGTATAGGAACACTCCTCTGACTTGTTTGGAGATTCCACTGAATAATCTTTTCTGGCTGTTTTGTCTTGCGACGTGTCATGCCCATGGCCACTTTAAGCTAGCAATCCTCGCCACTACGTCTATGATCTTAGTACTCTCCATAGCTCTTTGGTTTGTCTGTAACCTATTTGCACTCTTTTTCGTAAGCACGCAATATTTCCAGGCGATATGTTATTACGCAAGATTCGAACACTTTCCGTTTTCTTCTATAATATCTCTCTTTGATGTGTCAGGTGATTTAGGTAGTTGCCGTCGATATTGATAACAACAAGCCGGTTAACAACAAAAAAATGCTAATAAAAACAACAAATTAAAAATAATAGTCAAAATTTAAATTAAAATATTACTTAGTGAATCATCATCTGTAGGATTTACATTAATCTCTTCTCTGGTTCTATCCCAGTGAAATACAAAAGAGTAAATGTTACTTAAATTACTGGTATCCGTCTTAAAATTAACAGTATCTTCATTTAAATTGCCTACTAATCCTACCGTGTAGCCAACAGTTTTTGGGATCAAAAACTTCGCCTAACGCTTTTTTAGATATTGATACTCACAAATTAGTTTTTTGAAGATATCCTCTAGTGTCAAAGTAACTAATTTTTGTGATATCAATCGAAATCTTCTTAGAGTATCGCGATTCTCGCCTTGTCTATTGTATCTAGTATCTCTCTGTTGTCTTCTCGATTAGCATATGACTCGAAGGCTGATAAAAATTTGAATTTGTTGAACTATTCTTGTTAACAATTTGTAGAAGATAAATAATATGTAGCAGTCGCCTTTTTTGAACAGCTGGATAACCTCCGCACTCATCCACGCTGTTTCTGCAAGCATCAGGATGAGCATCAATCTTGCGAATTTCCCCCATCATTCTGTCTTCTCGAGAGCTTTTCTGTTCGTCCAACTTGCAGTTTATCATTATCGATCTATAGTTTCTCCTCAGAGCCCACATTTAAGAAGTTCCCCCTCTTATCGTTTATATTATAACGTAATTATTAAATGTTTTCCGGCTTTCGATAAGTATAATTTGTAGTATAAGTCTTAACCCATCTTATAACCCATCTTGGATCGTAGAACTCGCATGTTGGTATTGTATGTTTGAAGAACCAATTGGGTGTTATGGTTTCTATCTTTCCGAATTTCTTTCATTTCTGATTTTCGGTCTTACCAGCCTGTAATCGCAGCCAATAATAAATCGATTGAGGAAATTGACATTCATGCAAATCTGAAACCAAGCCCTCCTCTATGCACACCTCATTCTTTAGCGGCGTTTGTCATTGTGTGGTTTGGATCACCTGCAGGGTATAACGATCATTTAATTTGATCGTAATATAGATCACTCTCTCTGAGAATGCGCACGTTTTGCAGAACAGGTGCTTTAGGTCATTGTGCATCATAATTGCTATTCTACGGATATGTGAGTTAGCATTTGAGTAGTTTTGCTTAAATTTATCAGATACTAATTAAAAAAAATATATATTTCTAATCAACATTAATCCCAAACATGTATGAGAGTGGATAATTATAAATAAAACCAAATCTAGAAACTTCAGGGTTATGCACGTTGCAAAATGGTGTCCGAAAATTCATCAAGTGCAAGAAACGATTCATATTCTTTCACTTTGTTTGTCTTAGTGATTATTATTAAAAATTGTTACACCTTAACATCTAATGGTGTTAATAATCACAAATATAAACACTAAAAGTAACAATTATAAATAGAATATAATTAATTGTTAATTCCCTTATATTCTAATTTTGAGCTTTATCCCTTTCAATTTATCTTCGTTACTCAAACCCGCGGAGCTGATATATTCCAGATGTAATTAACGAAAGCAAGACTCCAGAGATCGTTACTGGGCATTTATGGGTTGCGTGGTCTCGCGATCCAAGCTTGTTAGCCGGTGCCGAGACCACGGAGCATGTGTACTCTCGGATAAGAAACCCCAACTTCGTGATCGTTCTTTCTTCTTCGAGCCAAGCTGCCCGCCTACATCGATTATTATAATAACGAGCACCACGTGAACTATTTATCTTAGTTAAACGGTATTCACGCTTTCAAGTTTGGTGTTCTTTTCTGATCGGATTGTTTATCAATAAAAGACCAAACGAGGTAAGGCATAAAACCCAAGAATCCTCTCCGCAATAAATCGTTTTAGAAGGATGATGGGGAGGTATTTTTGTTTTTTACGATCCTTTTGATGTCAACGTTTCCTTTTCTTCTTCTTCTTCTTCTTTTAACCGGTTTCTTACGTTTTATTATAAATAAATATTAAAAAAATCTTACCTCTGCGAAATTCTTTTCGTTATCATCAAACAAAAAGTTTGGATCATAAAGTGGGATGCACGGTCCGGAAGCGTCGTTTCTCGCGTGATTCGGAGGACAATCGTGTGTTCTTAATGAGTTATCAACGTGCGATCCGCGTCCACTAGAACTAACCATCATGTTTTTTGGCCCTTCCATGCACATGTGTTCTTGGTTGTTTTCGATGGGAAATTTGGTACAATTTAAAGTCTCGGGCCAAGGGAACCCAAATTTCTCCAAAACCGGAAAGCACAAATCGCGAACACCCTCGCAAAGTCCGCGGCACGGTCCGATGGGATGTGACACCTTCTCAGTACACATAGGCACGTAAACCGAACATAGAAACAGGTTCAGTTGCGGACTACAACCAAAGTTGATGAGCGGCTGGAACGTTTTCAGGTAGAACTCCGCTTCTTCTTGATATTCGTTACCACCCAAGTTCGGCATTGCTGTCAAGTTGTAACCGAGACCACGACAAATTTCCATACGAATAGGTTCGCATTGTCGAACGAGCGATTGAACGCCACTCATCAAAAAGATCATCGCCACGGCGAACACGAATCGGAGATGAAGAAGCATGGTGTTTTCGTTTTGAGAAAAATCGTCGGAACGCTACCGACGCGCGCGGTTCACTCGAAGGGAATGTTTAGGTTCTGCGGTTGCGTTTGGAATGTCGTGTCGACGAGTTTTACCGAGCTCCGTGTCGAGAATGGACGAACTACCTCGAGAAACCCGACTTTGCGCAGCGGGAAGTTTCGTGGAAATTCTGTGACTCTCTTCGCCCAGGTAGAAGTCTCGAACAATTAAAGGAAGATTGATGAGGATGGTTCTTATCTATCTTCTCTTTGGGGGTTCATTAATATGGATATTTTATGATTTTTATCCCCCAATCTCAAATTTTCACTCATCACATCTCATTCCAACCTAAAAATAAACACAATTTAATCATATTATTCTCTCTCATAGAAGATAAATTGATCTCATTTTCTTATTAGTTTTATTTAACGACCTGTTCGTTCTTCTAATGGAAGTTTCGACATTATCGATAGAACAATTATGGTGTGTTGAAGCAAAAATTGCGCGGTGGACGAGGAGGAGGCGGCGGCATCGATATCGAGGTTGGTTTGAGCTGGTGCTGCGGCGTTAATCGCCTCGCACTCAACAAATCTCGTTTTCACGACCTTTCATTATGAAATAATTAACGACCGGACGAAGCGTGAAGCATCCAAGAGCTGAGTTGAGGAGGATGAGGTGGAAAGGGGGCGCCCACTATACGCAAGGAGCGAAGAACGAGATAACCCGCTCTCATCCAACACCGAACAAGGCCTTAATAATGTTCGAAAGAACCTTTTCAGAACAAGAACCAGGGCCGTAATGAATAAAACTTACCAGGATTTGTGGTTGTCAAAATAAGTAAAATGTCCTCCATCATCGGCTAAAAATTTAATCAAAAAAGTGAGGTTATTTTAAATTATTGTTATAAATAAAATTGTTTTTACCTATTATGTTTATGCGATTCAACTAAAACTTAGAGATTTTTCGTAATTGGAGAAGATTATTATAAAAATTTCTTTCATTAAATTCTTCCTAATTTGACAGATTATTTCTGTTAATAAAACACCACTTCTAGTTGATAATTCAAGCCTCGAAAATTGATGCAGCTCTTCCATTTCAACTTGATTTCAGATTAATCATAAAGCTGAAACAAATATTTTAAATATTAGTATAAGAATTCTTCGAAATAAAGTATTTTGACATAACCTCACATCATAAAAATAATCACAGCTGTCACAAAAAAGCTGTCAATTTTATAAACACTTTGATTCAGAAATTAATGATTTTAATGAAAAGGATTTAATGAATTTTTTGATAAAAAAACTTTAATTAAGCACCAAGAGAATTAAACGAAATAAATTAATAATAATCTAAAAATAATTTAAAAAAAAAATACCATCTATCGGCAGAAAATTGAATTAAGAAAAACGCGGGAATTTCAAAATTCCCGGGTAAAAGTTATGTAATAATTAATAATTATTGCGTTTCTACATGTGTTCTTTTTTAATTATTATACAGGGTGTCTCACGTAACTGGTTCGTTAGAACTTTTTTAGGTTCCACTATTCGTAGAGGTTTGAAATTTTGGTAGCATGGGTTGTTCATTCTAAACTTTCAATCTAAAATATTTTCAAGATGGCCACCACTTCCGGTCTACCGGAAGTAGACCACAACTTCGTTATTTTAAATGGAATGCTATAGTTTTTATTACACCTTTCAATTATACATAAAAAAATATGTTGACTTTGATAAAAGTTGTTGGTACCTAGCATTTTTTGTTTTCGAGTTATTTTGATTTTAAGCTTTTTTTGGAAAATTTCACCATGCTCTTTAAAAGCCCATATCTCAGTTAACGTTCATTAAAAAAACCTCTAAATTGGCACAATTACTCTTCAGATGTTGTTAAATAGATACAGGGTGGTCAAAAATTGAATTACCGTTTCTCCATATTCAATGGCTAGAAAGTCGAAAATTTTAAATGGAATGCCCCGTATTTTTTTACCCTATCAGAAAGGGAATTTAATTCTCTACAACTTATCTATAAACATTCCTATACCTATTTATTGTAGTTTCCCTGATATTGGGAAATTAATCAAAGCATGCACGGAATGCGGGAAAACGTTTGATTTTTTTTATTAGAAGGCCATGGAATTTTGACAGTTTTTGGTCCATATTTGTGTTATTGTTGTTGTTACTTACTTTTGATCACGAGTGAAAGTCATTGTATATCATGGCAAATTATTCCAACGCCGATATTTTAAATTAGTTTTATATTCATGGCGAATGTAATAAATTTTTGGATAGGACGTGTCGAACATTTAATGAGAGATATCTAAACCTAACGCAAAAAAAATAAAATCTAAAAAAAATTTTCGAAAAATTGAAAAGGAGGGGAACTAAGAAATAGTTCTACAAACATCGAAACAACAAGAAATCGTAAATTCCCTATCACCAGTGATGAAGATAATGAAATAAATGTCTTATCATATTTTATTGCTTACCCAAATTCTTCAGTAAGAGGTGCCTCGGTCGATTTAGGTAAGTAATATCTGCTAAAAAAACTTCCTTAATAAATAAAGTGAACTCTCTAGGAATATCTCACCCATCATTGCATCGAATATTACGCCGATACAAAATACATACAATATCTTACAGGGCCTTTTACCGGAAGATTACATAAAATGACAGCAAAATTCAAGAAAATCCTTTATTTTTATCGCGACTTATTTGGACGGATGAATCAAAATTTTCGAGGGAGGGTATTGTTAATAGACAAAATTTACATATTTGGGCTGCCGAAAATCCTCATGCAGTCAGAGAGGCAAATTTTCAACAAAAATTTAGTTTTAACGTTTTTGTTTTGTTAATGGGAAACCAACTTCGTTTTGAAATTTACGATGAAAATTTAAACAGTCAACGATGTTTAGAAATTTTAAGAGGTACAGTTACTGATTTTTGCGAAAGTTTGCCTCTTAGCACATTTGTAAATTGTTGGTATCAACTGGATGGCGCTCCAGCACACTCTTCAGGGCAAATTTACCAACAATTAAACAATTTGTTTGTGGATTGGAAGAAATGGACCATGGCAATGGCCTCCACGATCTCCAGATTTAACACCATTGGATTTTTATTTGCAACGACAAGAGTTGCGTGATAGAATGGTGCGTGCACTACGTACTATTGATGACGACCAACTTCTACGGGCCACAACCGTAGAAGTCGAAAGAAGAGTTGAAAAATGTTTAATGGTGAATGGTCAAGCATATCGAACAGTTTTAATTTTTTTATAATTTTAAGTTTTTGTTTTTTTATATGTTATTCATTCTGTTATTAAATTGTTGTTTTTCATTGTTTCATTTATTCGTTTTTCTGTTGGTTATTTTTGGTAAATAAAAGCGAGCAAGCTAAAGGTTATTCAACCATAGTTAATTGTAGTAATAATACCAATAATAATTTAAATAAATTAAACGATGAACTGTCAAAACGTCTTGGCCTGCTAACAAAAACACAAAAGAGCTTTGGGATTCTATGTCTGATTTTGATTAATTTTCCAATATCAGAGAAACTACAATAAATAGGTATAGGAATGTTTATAGATAATTTGTAGAGAATTAAATTCCCTTTCTGATAGGGTAAAGAAATATGGGGTGTTCCATTTAAAATTTTCGACTTTCTCGCAATTGAATATTGAGAAACGATAATTCAATTTTTGACCAGCCTGTATAAGATTCTCTGATACAACAAATGACAATCTATTTGGCAGCATCTGTAGAGTAGTCGTGCCAATGCAGAGCTTTTTTGAATGATCGTTAGCTGAGATATGGGCTTTTAAAGACCATGGTGAAATTTGTCAAAAAACACTTAAAATCAAAATAACTCGAAAACAAAAAACGCTAGGTACCAACAACTTTTATCAAAGTCAACATATTTTTTTACGTATAATTGAAAGGTGTAATAAAAACTATAGCATTCCATTTAAAATAACGAAGTTGTGGTCTATTTCCGG